TACAAGTGGGGGACCAATAGAAATGCAATGCACCATTTGAAATCGTCACCAGCCAGCTTGGAGATAATGAATCCAACAGTTATTATAATACAATTATCTCCAAGCGCCCAAAACCCCACGTGTTTTTGCCACATAGAAAACAGAATAAAAATACATAACTCAAACAGTTTTATACATAATTTGTGTCTTCCACCATTCATTACATAGCCCCGGTTGAGGCGAAACAATTAGCCGAAGAGCGCTCAGAACCCGCGAATGGTATGCGATATTTCCTCGAACGAAAGTCTGTTCGTGTCTTTGGGTTCTGAGCGTGTGTTGGCGGCCATGTTTTGAGGTAGGCTAATAGGTCGCGGGACTTCACCATCAACCTTGTGGAACAGGAACTGGCTAACAGTCTGTGTGAATCCCCGCTCCGTCGCTGGAAGTCTCCGGTGTTCGGGAGATGAATGAAGACCGCCGGGAGGGGGTACTTAACCTGCGGTTAACCGCAGAAACCAACATTCTAATTGGAGCCACACGCCAGGCTGTAGGTGGCCCTTTGTTCGGTACCCGTTCGGTAGTTAGAGTATCGGGTGATGGGGCACGAACGTGGACTCCTGGCTGTCATCAATTAGGTTGCGGTTAACCGCAGACCGCAACTCTCGGGGTGGTTAAGTTGAGACACACTCTGCTTGAAGGGTGGTCGGCCGTTCGGCTGTTCCCGAGGTGACCGGGGTTAATTGGCGGCACGCGCCAAGATCCTGGTGGTCTGCCGTTCGTATCACGAATAGCCAGCAGGTCCGTAGTTCGGGAGCTAGGTATCAAATCCCAATATTGTAATCCAATTCTGTGTGAAATGTAGCAATAAGTAACATTCGCTTCTGAGTTATAACGATCCAATAACAGTAACCAATAGTTTGTAACAGTGCTCCCTCTTTGTGGAAAACTCTGGCAGACACTGTCTGATCCCTTTTCGGGGTAGACTAAGGCTGTCCAGATGGTGGTTACGCTGGGCTGAGATCGGTCTGCCTGGACAACCCGTCGGCGTTGCCATTTTGTTTTCCAGGTCTGTAGGCAATCGTGAAGTTAAAGGGTTGTAAAGATAAGCTCCACCTTAGCAGTCTGCCATTATCTCCCGAGACCCAGTTTAGCCACACCAACGGGTTATGATCAGTTACCAGAAAAAATTCTTGTCCATATAAATAGGGGGTCAATTTCTTTAGTGCCCACACTAGGGCCAAACACTCCTTTTCTACCGCGGTGTAGCTGACTTCGCGTGGTAGGAGCTTTCGGCTGATGTAGGCGTCTTCGCCTACTTGGCTGAGGACGGCCCCCAGCCCGAACATGGAAGCATCTGTATGGACGATAAAGCGTTTGTTAGGGGCTGGGGCCGCCAAGACAGGAGCGTTAACAAGTGCAGTCTTAAGAGCCTGAAAAACAGTTTCACAGTGTGCAGAACACAGGACCTGTCTGGGTAAATTTTTCTTGGTCAGGTTAGTCAATGGTTTGGCAATCGTGCTGTAGTCCGGTACGAATCGTCTGTAGTACCCGGCCGTACCCAAGAAGGCTAGGACCTGAGTCTTAGTGGTGGGGGTGGGCCAATTGGCTACGGCTTCTATCTTGGCCGGTTCTGGTCGTTGCTTCCCGCACCCTACTCTGTGCCCTAGGTACTGGACCTCGACCATCCCAAAATAGCATTTTTCGGGCTTCAGCATCAGCCCGAATCTGGTCCAGAACCATACCTACATGAGCCAAGTGGTCCTCCCAGGACTCACTGTGAATCGCTATGTCGTCCAGATATGCACATGCAAAATTCTGGAAGCCATCCAGGAGTCTATCCACCAAGCGCTGAAATGTAGCTTGGGCATTCTTCATCCCGAATGGCATAACCTTAAAGTGTTAAAAGCCGAACGGGGTGACGAATGCCGACTTGGGGATAGCTTCCTGGGCCAGGGGGATTTGCCAATAGCCTTTGCAGAGGTCAATGGTAGTCAGATAGTTTCCCCTGGCGATGCGATCGAGTAGTTCGTCTACCTTGTCTGTCACAGTCTTATCATTGAGCTTCCGATAATCCACACAAAATCGGGTAGTCCCATCTTTCTTGGGAACTAAGACTACTGGGGAAGCCCTTGGACTATCGGACGGCTCAATAAACCTTAGCTGAAGCATTTCATCGATCTCTTTCTTCATTTCTGTCCTAACAGCCTCTGGGATCCGATAGGGAGCCTGCCTTAGGGGAATTATCTACCTGGTGGGTGGTCAGGGTAGTGAACCCGGGTCTCTGGGAGAAAGTGGGACTTTTGGCTCGAAGCAGTTGGTTAAGCTGCTCCCTCTCAGTGATACTAAGTCGATCCCCTACCTTGACCTGGTCATTATATCTGAGTGGGACCCTCGTTCTAGCAGGTCAGGGATTGGTAGGCTGTCTGGATCTTCCTGGGGTGGGCAGCAGACGGCTGTCACGTTTTCTGGTCGCTCAAAGTACTCCTTGAGTATGTTCACGTGAAACGTTTTCCTAAGGTTGCTATTGTGGCAACTAGCGATAACATAGGTGGTGTCTCCATTTTTCTCTACCACCTGGTACGGTCCCTGCCAGGAGGCTTGAAGTTTATCGGTCTTAACCGGTTTGAGTACCAGCACTTTTTGTCCCAGGACAAAAGTCCTTTTCCGTGCTCCCCGATCGTACCATACTTTTTGTCTCCTCTGGGCCGACTGGAGGTTAGCTTGTACAGATTTGGCTAATTGCTCCATTCGGTCCCAGAGTTCCAATACATAGGGCACGATTGGGACTCCACCTGTCTCAGTCTATCCCTCCCAGTGCTCTCAGATCAGGTTTAGGGGTCCCCGTACCTTGCGACCATAGAGCAGCTCGAAGGGAGAGAATCCTGTCGTTTCCTGGGTTACCTCCCGATAAGCGAACAGGAGGTGGGGGAGGAAGCGTTCCCAGTCTCTATACTCTTGGGTGAACGTTTTGAGCATTTGTTTAAGGGTCCCGTTGAACCTTTCGCAAAGTCCGTTTGTCTGAGGGTGGTAGGGGGAGCTTAGAAACTACTTAATCTTACAGACCTGCCAGAGTTGCTGCGTTAACTCAGCTGTAAATTGTGTACCTCGATCAGACAGGATTTCTTTGGGAAATCCTACTCGTGAGAACACCTGTACTAGGGCATTGGCTACCGTATCGGCTTGAATGTTAGATAGGGCCACGGCTTCTGGGTACCTGGTAGCACAGTCCACTACGGTAAGAATGTAGCGCTTACTGGAGGGACTAGGGGTAGCCAGGGGCCCCACTAAGTCTATGGCTACCCTGCTAAATGGCTCCTCTATAATGGGCATATTCACCAGGTGTGCCTTAGGATGGTCTCCTCTCCTCCCTACTCGCTGACACACATCGCATGTGTTGCAATAGGTCCTAACATCAGCGTGTACCCCTGGCCAGAAAAAGGTGTGAGTAATGCGGTGTAGGGTACTGGTCACGGCCAAGTGGCCTGCTAAGGGTATGTCATGTCCTATTTTTAATATTTCTTGTCGGTATATGTGGGGTACTACCAGCTGTCGTCTGTGTTGTCCCCGTTTCTCAGTCAGCTGATACAGTTTTCCCTTCTCCCATAAAAATGTTTCGTTATCCAGTCCACCCCCTCCCGTCTCGGCCCTCTCTCTGTATTTTTGCAAGGTCGGGTCGGTCTTAGACTCAGTCTCAAATGTGGTGGGAGTGTCCCAGGGTATGGGACCTAAGGGATCAGTCCTGGTCAGGGTGAGTCTTACCTGTGTCTCCCGCACTGGTGAGGGTTCCCGCTGCATCTGTGCTTGTGCCCGAGTAGTCACCGGATTCGCCTCGTTGTTATAGACTGGAGCATAGGCAGAAGTCATAGGACCCAAATCGTTACCCAGTAGCACTTCAGCGGGCAAATTGTCCATTATGCCTACATTCACGGTCCCTTTTCCCGCTCCCCAATCAAGATGTACTTTGGCGGTAGGAGTTTTGTATACATCCCCCCCGCCACTCTAACTGCCACGGTCTGTCCCGATCTCTTGTGTTCCAGGACCAAATGGCTCTGGACTAGTGTAATCGTAGCGCCGGTGTCCCTTAGTCCCTCGGTAGAGTGACCCTTGAGCCATACTTTTTGTCGATGATGCTGGTGATTATCTGAAGCATCATATACGGGGTTGGCTTCATGTAGTGGTCCCAGGTATTCCTCCATAGGGCTCTCTTGGTTAACGCAAAGGGCCTGGGCAGGGCGAGATGGCCCGGCAGAGGAGTTGTAATTCCTAGAGGTCTGATAGGAGTTTAGAGGACAGCTTGCCATGAGGTGCCCCGGTTGTTTGCATCGAAAACACGTTGGTCGGGGCCGGTCTGTGTGGTTGTTACTGGGTGGTCCTGAGTACCGTATGGGCACCGCGGGTACTGGAGCTCTGAATTCGGTGCGTGACGGCAGTCGGTAACTGTCCCTATGTTCGGTCCGTGCCGTTGTTCGGTAAGTTGTGGATTCTTACAACCGGGACTCATAATGTTCGTCGGCCAGCTTGGCCGCTTCTTCTAAGGTAGCGGGTCGTCTGTCTCGCAGCCATTCCTTTCCCTGTTGCTCAATGCCATTATAAAAATGCACCAGCAGAAATAATTGTAATATTTCTTCAGCGGTCACGGCCTTACTCCCGTTCATCCAGTGATTCGCTGCTCTCCGCATTCTGTGCGCCCATTCCATGTGAGTGTCATTAGGTTTCTTTTTAGTGTTTTGAAATTGTCGTTGATACGTGTCCGGTGTTACCGCGTACCGTCGTAGGAGTGTGTCTTTAACTACAGTGTACCGAGTCACTTCCTCGGCACTCAAGGTCCGGAATGCCTCTAGTGCTCACCCGGATAGGTTTCCAGACAATATCGTGGGCCACTCTTTGTCGGGAATCTGATGTAGGGCACATTGTCGTTCAAAGTCTGCCAAATATTCATCAATCCCTGTCTCGTTCTCCAGAAAGGGTCTAAAAGCTGCATAGGGTATATTTGGCCTCCCGGGGTTCTCTGCAGGACTTACGGTTGGGGCTGCATCGGCGTTGCGGTGTGCGGTCACCAGACTGAGCTCGTGGGCTCTAGCTTTCTGTATGTCCTCATCTGCCTCTGCCATCAGCTGCTGTACTAGTTCCATGGAGGGGTTCGGCCCATACAGTGAGAGCCTCTCCTGAACAATCCTGGTCTTTGCGTTGCCCGTCGTTGTTGGGGCTTCTGCCATGGTGAAACTCTGATCCAGTTCGGTCAGCTCTGCGATCAGCTCCCTCCTCGGCCGGTTATTCGCGTTCCCACCTCGGCTTTCGAGTAAATCCTTTAAGGTAGTGCGTTTTAATTTGTCATAGGTGCTCTCCATCCGTTCGGTATCTCTCCTAGGAAGTCAAGAACGATCCCACCGCTGCCACCAAATGTTACGGTTACCTCCAGGCTAGCTGGAAGCTGGACCGCTTGGATGATCTGGATCCCAAAGGCAGAGAAAGGGGAGAGTCCCGTCAGTAGTTATTCCATACGAATCCTGTAAATGTACAACAATCCCACTAGCTATAGTACAGCTAGTACTCTTTTCCCCACAAAACGAGTCGAGGCTGCGATTTGAAGCTCAAACAAGAACTGCCTTTAATGGCACACAGATATCAGTATTTATGCAAAATTTCAGGTCCAGGGACAGCCCCCTCTGGACCTGATGGGATACAGAGACAATACAAGTGGAGGACCAATAGAAATGCAATGCACCATTTGAAATTGTCACTGCCTATCTTGGAGATAATGAATCCAACGGTTATTATAATACAATTATCTCCAAGCGCCCAAAACCCCACATATTTTTGCCACATAGAAAACAGAATAAAAATACATAACTCAAACAGTTTTATACATAATTCGTGTCTTCCACCATTCATTACATAGCCCCGGTTGAGGCGAAACAATTAGCCGAAGAGCGCTCAGAACCCGCGAATGGTATGCGGTATTTCCTTGAACGAAAGTCTGTTCGTGTCTTTGGGTTCTGAGCGTGTGTTGGCAGCTATGTTTTGAGGTAGGCTAATAGGCCGCGGGACTTCACCCTCAAACTTGTGGAACAGGAACTGGCTAACAGTCTGTGCGAATCCCCGCTCCGTCGCTGGAAGTCTCCGGTGTTCGGGAGACGAATGAAGACCGCCGGGAGGGGGTACTTAACCTGCGGTTAACCCGCAGAAACCAACATTCTAATTGGAGCCACACGCCAGGCTGTA